GGTGACGCGGGTGACGCGGGTGACGCGGCCGGTCTGACACGTGTCTGTCCCGCACCACCGCAGGCGGCCCCGGCAGCGCCCGGGCGGGCTCGCCCGGCAGCGAGGAGGAGGCCGGCAGCGAGGTGCTGAGCCACTGCAGCAGCGCCAGCGAGGGCGCCAGCCCAGCCGAGGAGGGACCAGGTGAGCCCCGCGGACCCCCCTGGTGTCCCCACGTGTGTGGCGGTGTCCCCCACCCGCGGGCTCCCCGCCTTCACGTGGTGCCGCCCGGGCAGGGAGCGAGGCGGCGAGTGAGCAAGGCCAGGAGGAGGAGGCAGAGGACCGGCTGAAGGAGCACATGGACAACCTCCTGGACAAGAGGTGAGGAGCGGCTGCCACCTGCCGTGGGCGCTCTTGGCGCGCTGCCCATCCCTGCCAGCGCTGCCAGCCGGGGGCAGGGACGTGCCATGTCCCGGGACACCCTGGACTGTGACGTCCCGCGATCTCTCGTAGCGCCAAGACGCGGCAGGCGGCACTGCAGAGCCTGCGCCTGGCCTTGTCCTCCAAAACCCTGTCCGAGTTCCTGCTGGAGCGCCGCCTCACGCTCACCGACTCGCTGGAGAAGTGTCTCAAGAAAGGTCAGGGCGCGGGCGGGCTGCGGGCGGCGGGGCTGGTGACCCGGGTCTGAGGGAGGTCTCTCGTGCTGCCCACAGGTAAAGGGGACGAACAGGCGCTGGCGGGCACCGTCCTCACCCTCCTCTGCCTCCAGATGGGCTCCGGCCCGGAGGGAGAAGAGGTGTTCCGCAGCCTGAAGCCCCTGCTCGTCAGCGTCCTGACAGACAGCATGGCCAGCCCCAGCGCCCGGCAGAGCGTAAGGCCCGGCCCCTTTCCTCCTGGGGACACCTCGGTGCTGGGGAGAGCCTTTGGGGCCCCTGCAGTTGCCGGAAGGTGATGGGATTGGGTGTTGTACAGAGCAGGGGGGCAAGGCAGAGGCACCCCGCCTGGCTTCTCTTTGGTTGGGTGCTGGATCTGTCCTGGCACTGCCTTCTCTGACTGCCCTTTCCTCACTCCTCTCACTAGTGTGCCATGGCCCTGGGCATGTGCTGCTACATTGCTGCTGCTGACCTCGAGGTAACTGCGCCTGAGTGTCGCCCGTACCCCTGCAGGAGGGCACCCGGGGCTGCTGTGCCACCTGCCCTCAGCCCACGATGCCAGGGCAGCCTGGAGCTGAGCTGGGGTAGGGGTACAGGGACATCAGTGACAGCCCAGGCCCCTTCCCTGGGCAGTGTGGAGCTGAGCTGGGGGGAGGCCTGCCTTGCAGAGATGGGGTGTTCTGGGTGGAGGAGTCTCTCCTGTCTCAGGGAGTTCCTGGTGCCCCTGGGCATGGTGGGTCCCCTTCAGTCCCCAGTGCACAGCTCACTATGGCATCTTCATGTCAGCTGTGGTCTGACTGGTGAGTTTCTCCCCTCCAGGACCTGATTTCGTGCCTGTCCTGCTTGGAGGGGGTCTTCAGCCCCCCCAGCACAGGTGAGGCAGGCTCAGCACCTGCCCAGCACGGGCCTCTGCACTGCAGCGCGCTCCAGTCATGGTCCCTGCTCCTGACCATCTGCCCCCCCTCCCACCTCAGGAGCATTTTGGACAAGTGAGTGGGGTGTGGGGTGAGTGGAGGCTGGTGTGGGGTAGCCAGCTGTGGAGTAGAGAGTCCCTGACTGTCCTCCTACCTCTCTGTCCCAGTCGCTGGCTGCAGCTGCCCCCACTGCTGTCCAGCAGCAGCGTCGCCCTGCGCATCCTGGCCGGGGAAACCATCGCACTGGTGTTTGAGCTGGCCCAGGACCTGGAGGTACAACAGTGGGTGGGCAGTAGCCAGGTGGGAGGGAGCTGCAGGCAGCAGCACCCTGCCTGTGCCCTGGCTGAGCTGGCACTGACTGGAGTCACCAGCAGGTGTCCAGGCAGAGGGTCTGGCCTGGGTGATCTCCCTGCCCTGTCATGGCCATGGTGGCAGTGCCTGGAGCCACATCCCTCCAAATCCTCTGCTTTTTGGCAGGAGGACTTGTGCCACCAAGATACAGAGCTCTTGTGTGCCCAGCTCAAGGTCCTGGCTACTGAGAGCAACAAGTACCGAGCCAAGACAGACCGACGGAAGCAGCGATCCATCTTCCGGGACATCCTGCGTTTCATTGAGGTGCTGGAGGCTGGTGGTGCCCTTCCCTGCCAAGCCCCTCGCTGTATGGCTGCTGCCCAGCTGCCTGGTGATTCCCCTCCATGGAGAGCCAGGGACACGTAGGGCTGGTACCTGGGTTATTGCTGATGCCCCTCTCTCTGTTCAGAGTGGGGAGTACCAGGAGGAGACCATCCGATTTGGCCTGGAGTGCATGTACCTGGACAGCTGGGCACGCCAGCGGACCTACCAAGCCTTTAAAGAGGTGCTGGGCTCTGGCATCCGCCACCACCTCCAGGTAGGGGCTGGGGAGACACACCAGGGAGTGCCGGGCTGGTGGTGGTGGGTGCTGACATGCCCCTACTTCTGTAGAACAACGAGCTGCTACGGGAGATCTTTGGCCTCGGGCCCCCCTTGGTGCTGGATGCGGCTGCTCTGAAAGCCAGCAAGGTCTCCCGCTTTGAGAAGGTGTGTTCCACCTCCCAGATTTATGCCCACAGTCCCCTCCTGTGCCGCTGATTGAATCTAGTGGGCACCGATGAAGCATCCCTAACCCATCTCTTCTTCCCTCTCCTTCCAGCACCTCTACAACTCGGCCGCCTTCAAAGCCCGCACGAAAGCCCGGAGCCGTGTGCGGGACAAGCGGGCAGATGTGCTGTGATGGGCAGAGGGGGCAGAGCCCCCAGCCCACCTGGACTGCAGACCCAGCACTGTGAGGGGCAGGTGCCCCTAGCCTTTGGGCTTTTATTCATGTACAGCAGAGTATTTAATGCCTGGAGCTGCCCCACCGGGGGCTGCCCCCTCTTTTATTTTTTTAACCAAAGAAAGGAAGGATAAAAGAAGAGCAGGGGGAGGTGGTGGCGTGTCTGCTGTGTGCCTGCTCTGTGGCTGAGGCTCTGTGTGGCACAGTGGGAAGGGCTTTCACCAGAGCTCCTGCAGCCCCTTTTAGAGGCAAGGCTCATGTCCCCCCCTCCCCAGTCCTGTGGGGACACCAGGGTGGCCTGGCACAGCCTGAGGGGTGATTGAGAGGGCAGAGCTGTGCGAGGCTGTGGGGCAGCTGGCCTGGTGTCTGTGCCTGTGGCAGGAGCACTCGCTTTCACTTGCCACGCTGGGCACAGCCCCTGCCTCCACAGCCAGCCTGGCACCAGGGGTGGTGGCAGAGCAGTGCAGGGTGGCAGGCCTTGCTCAGCCCAGCCAGCTGCTCAGTCTTAGCCCTTTTTACAGCCAAATGCTTTATATGAAATAGTAATCTTGGGGGAAATTAATTACGGGGGGGCAACTGCCCAGGCAGGCATGGGGCTGTGCCAGCTGGCAGTGCCTGCCACTCCGGGAATGTATCTATCATGGTGATTTTCTAAGACTTTGATTGTAAGAGGTAATTAAAAGGCTAATTGGAGGGTGCCTTCTGCCTTGTTAAGAGGAAGGGCTGTCACAGAGGCGGGTGCCGGTCCTTACAGCCCTGTCCCTTTCTCTCGCAGCCTGGGGCGGGAGCCAGGATTGCCCCTGTGCCCCGAGAGGCAATGCTGCCGGGTCTGAGCAGGTAAGGCTGCCCGTTGCCCCCTCCTGCCCTTCGCTGCCCCTTCCCGTGGTGGCCTGGAGCCCGTGGTGGGGCTGGGAGCAGCTCAGCGGTGCCCGCCAGGCTGGGTGCTGGCGTTGAGGCGAGCCCAGAGCTGCCTGCTGGCTGCCCGCAGCTGGTGCACGGCATCCTCTTGGCTCTCCAGCCACTGGGCCAGCGCCCGCACGGACTGGCTCTGCAGGACTGCGGGGAGAGGATGAGGACATGTTGGGGACAGGCTCACCTGCAGCACCCCAGCCCCCTGCCCTGCCCAGTGTCACATACCACTCAGGTAGATGGCCAGCGTGGCCAGGACCAGGCTCGCCAGTGCCAGGAGCACCAGCAGAGCCAGCAGCAGGGGGTGGCCAGGGCCGAGGCAGGGGCAGGGGCTGGCAGGGGGCACGGGGCGCAGGGTAGGCAGTAGCGCTGGGGGCACGGGGGACACGGGCCGAGGTGGAGGCCGGCGGAGGCTGCTGGAGGGAGCCGGGCCGTTGCCTGCAGGCAGGGCAGAGAAGAGGTCAGAACCCAGTCACAAGCACAGCCAGGGCTGGCAGGACCACCCCCCAGCGTTCTCACCCTCTGTGCCCTTCTGCCCGCCCGAGGCCAAGTGCAGGTCGCTGATGGACTCCACGGGGCACAGGCTGATGGCTCCCGGCTCACTGCTGTCGGGATCCCCGGGCTCTGCTGGCGCAGCACCCTCAGCCCTTCCCATGCTGTCTGCTGGAGCAGAGGCAAAGGGTCAGCGTGTGCCCTGCCCACAACCCCTCCCTGCCCCAGGCACCCCTGTGGGACCAGACCCCTGGGGGGGGGCGGATCCCAACCTTGGCAGCTCAGTGCTGTGGTGGGGCGGGCAGCCAAGGCCGGTGTTCCCTTGGCACAGCCCTGCAGGCGGGGCAGGCAAGCGCTGGCTGTGCCCCCCGGCCCTGACGCTGTCATCGGAGCACTTAGCAGGCAGGCACCTGGTGGCCACGATTCCAGAGCCTCCCGGAGCCTCGTTAGTGGGACTGGAATCTGGCCCTGGCTTGGGGGCAGGAATGTGCCACCCCCTGGTCCCGATAGCCCGGGCACTTTGGGGCTGGCTGGGGCTCCCAGGGCCAGCTGGGAGGCAGTGGGCAGGGCCAGGGCAGTGCCAGCCGGTGGTGTGGCTCAGCTTGCCCTGCAGGCACCGTGCTCAGGCATTGCTTGGGGATGCACAGATGGAGGTATGGGATGTGTGCTGTGCCAGGGGGACCTGGTGCCCACTGCCCAAGTGGGCACATCCCTCATGGGAGTGAGGGAGCTTTTTGGAAGTAGGCATGGCTCCAGCACCATTTCAGGAAGCAAGCATGGGGTTGAGGGAAAGGGTTCTTTTCTAGGTGTTTGCGCATTTTTGAGCAGTGGGCAGGGCCCACGTGCTGTGCCCGTGGCGGAGCGGGGCAGGCTGGCACTGTGCCCATTCCCAATCCCTCTTGGGGTCAGTGGCGTGTCGCAGGGCAGCATGGCGCCATGCTGCTGCTGTCCAGACTGTGAGTCACCCTGCAGGTTGGTGGGCATCAGGGCTGGGGAGCCTCAGCTGGTACCCAGGTCCCCTCAGACCCTCCCCAGGGCCCTGCCTTTGGCCGGGGGCTGGCCCGTGGGTATCCCCATCACCCCTGCATCTGCTTCCCCCCAGCTGGGGGACAGAGCTGGTCACATAGGTTTGGTGCAGGGGGCTGTGCCAGCCAGCTGCCTGCCCCCTCCCCAAACCCTGCTGCCCTGCACCTGCAGCCCTCCAGGACCCTCTTCTTCCCTGGGCAGGTATCTCTGCCCACAGTCCCCCTGGCAGAAGGCACCATCTGGCCACTGCTTCTATCCCAACCCCACAGTCCCATGCCACCCAGTCCCCCCTGGGGTGCCAGGGCCCCCACCAGCCCCCAGCCCGCTCCCAGTGTACCTTTTGCAGCCTCCCTGGGCATGGCTCCCTCTGCCCTGCGCCCGGGCAGTGTGAGTGGGCAGTGAGGTGGTGCGGGGCCCCTGGGAGCTGGGCACTGGGTTGCCAGTGCGCCAACTGCGCTGCTTAAAATAGGATAGTGAGAAACACAGTTGGGGGGGGATAAAAATAGCTGTGGGGAGGGGGGCCTGGTGGCGTTGACAGGGCTGCCAGCAGCACAGTGCCAGTGTGGCAAAGGGACAGCAGGTTGTGGCAGCGCCCCATACCCTTTCCCAGGATAAAGGGGCTGCCAGCTCACCAAGGGATCAGGGCAGAGTCCATGCAGGGAAACTGAGGCCCCACTGGACCCATCCAGAGCCAAACTGGGGTCTGTGCCATCTCTCAGTAGCAATGGCAACTGTGCCCAGCCTGGGGGCACCACAAAACCCCCCCACCCCAGCTTTGCCCACAAGGACCATGCCAGCTCTGCCAGGAGGATTTATTTAAGTTAATGAGACCGTTAAGAAGTGCCAGCAGCAGTGCTGCCAGAGCAAGGGACCGTGGTAGTCCCCAGCCCGGGTCACCAGCCCCATGTGCCCTGTGGGGGGCAGGTATCAGAGGGTGGGAGGTCCTTATGCCCATAAAGGCTGTGAGTGTGGGTGGGCACCAGGCAGGAGGCAGCAGGGCCAGGCCAGACCCGCTGCGCACAGCGTTCGCCTGCCCAGCCACGGTAGCAGTGGCAGCGGAAGGCAGCCGGTGGGCTGGCACTGGGGCCGAGGTGCAGGAGGCTGCCCAGGTCATGGGGCTGCTGGCGCACGCAGCGCCCGTGTCCATGGCACTTCCTGTAGCTACACTCTCGGGCTGCCGCTGTCACATTGGCCACGTAGGGGCCCAGGATGGACACGAGGTAGTGGCGCAGGCTGGCACAGCTCTCCTGGGGAGGAAGCACCACTGAGAACCTGCCCCAGAACCGGAGACCCTCTGGTCACCCCTCCCCAGCAGGCATCAGGGACGTGGCCATCCTGTATGTCCCATGCCACCTCCTGCTGCCCACCATGTGCCGGCCCCAGTGCAGTGCGGGGCCATACTCACAGCTGAGCGGGAATAGGACATGTCTCCCCAGAGCACGAGTCCAGCTGCTCCCAGCGCTGCACTCTCCCCAATGGTGTGCACCAGGTCAGCCTGCCAGGAACAGAGACATGACCAGGCTGGGGAGGCACAGGCTGTGTCCCTGTGCCATGCAGAACCCCCTGGCACACACAGTACCAACTCCGGCCCCACAGTGCTTACCAGCTCCAGGAACTGGGGTGAGCGGCGGAAGGAGAGACGGGAATAGGCGATCACGGGCAGGAGGCCGTGGGCCCCGAAGGCGGCCACACGCAGGGCCTCACGCAGCCGGTGGTGGACGTAGCGGTGGCGCAGGGCAGGTGGCAGTGCTGGTGGCAGGTAGATGCTGGGGTAGAGGGCCGAAGAGGCGGCCCAGAGCCAGCCCAGCCGGTTGTTGCGCTGCACCTCTGCCGGCTGGCACTGCCCGGTGTAGTTGGCCTTCTTGGCCCAGTTTCCATTGAGACAGTCAGGGAAGCGGTAGAAACCCCAAAGCCCTCGTGGGCGCAGGGTCTGGCCCAGCAGAAGCGTCTCTTCCATCAGAGCCTGTGCCGCCTGCTCAAACTCCTGCTGGGCCAGCCGGAGCAGCCGCCGTGCCGGCAGGGTGCCATGCCGGTCCCGCACCCACTGCTTCGAGGCTGCCCGGTATATCTTTTTGGTCCCCCAATTTTGGGCCCAGAGGGGCCTCCACTCCTCCCAGTCCACCACGGCCAAGCCATGGAAAGCAGGGCGCAGGAGGAGGTGGATGTCCTCAGCCACCCTGGCGAGGTGGAAGCCAAGGGGGACGCGCTGGGGGATGCCCCCATTGTGGGGGACACCCTGCCGTGACAGGTAGGGGTACAGCCCAAACTTGTTCTTGTAGAAGATGGTGATGTTCTGGCCCATGAAGCAGCCGTCCTGGTTCTCCACGATGCCATAGTCACTGAGAGGCAGCGCCACACCGAAGCGGCACTGGCAGCGCCCAGTGGGGACGTTCCACACCACGGCAAAGGGCTGGCCGCCTGACAGGGGCTCAGGTGCTGGGCTCTCCCCGCTGGTGGTGCCCAGTGCCAGGCACACCCACAGCACCAGCACCAGCACCATCCCCCCTCACTGGCTGCCTGCAGGGCCAGCACCCTGCAGGGAAAAGAAAGCAGTGGGGGTGAGGCTGCGGGGCACAGCAGGCACCCCAGCCATGCTGGCACTGCCACCCTGGCATGCGGCAGACTAGGATCAACCACAGGTGCCAGGTGCCCCACAAGCACGTGCTGCCCACCCAAAAACCCCACAGGACTTGGTAAACTTGAGGGTTTCAGACCCCTCCTGCCTCAGCACTGGCAGTGGGCACCTCTGCCTGCTGCACGCTGGGGTCGAGCCCCTGCCTGCCACCAGCACAGCCATGGCACAGCTCTGGAGTGGCACTGCAAGCCACAGACCCCAGTGCTTCCATTTTCCTGCTGGCTCCCAATCCTGCCTGTAGTGGGGGCACCATGACCCTCTCCTCCCCATTTCACCACAGCACCTAGCCCAGCTGGGTGCCCTACTGAGGGACCAAGCCCCACAAGAGGCGTGGTGGAGCCAAAGGCACAGCTGGGTCCCTCATAGACCAGGCAGAACCAGAGGGGGCTGGTGCCCCTGCCCAGTGCTGGCCGGCTGCCCGGGACAAGGGGATTAGACGGCGGACGGGCCCAGGGGCCGCGTGATGCAGCAAGGGCAGCGCTAATCCCCCGGCGCGAGGCCGGACGCTCTCCCTGACCTTCCCGCTGCCATGCCTCTAGCTCTCACTGACGACGGCTGCCTCGGGGTGGGGGGGCTTGGCCACCTGCCCCCCTCGCCATGCAGCTCAGGGACCTGACTCTGCAGCCCCACTGCCATGCCATACTCCCCCTGGTGCCCCTCCAGCCATCGTGTGCCTTGGTTTACCCATGGCTGCTCAGTCGCAAGAGCAGTGGCCATGCTGGAGACCACCACACACCATCAGCCCCAGCTGCCCTTCAGTGAATCCCCTGAGTGGAGGAGACACTGCTGGGACTGGGTGGCGCTCCTGGGATCAGGAGCCCCACCACCAGCCCCACAGCCTAGACTGGATCTGGCTCCCAGCCACACTGGTGGTCCCACAGCCATGGCCAGGCGAGCCGGGAGCCAGGTGGGAGTGGAGTCAGTGTGCCCAGGCAGGGCAGGGTGTGAGGACCCACCCAGCAATGGGGCCAGGGTGAACCAGGGAGGCTGGGGGAGCTGGTGCCAGCCCTGAAGAATGGCAGGCAGTCAGGCAGCGCCACAGCAGGCAGCTCCTGCCTGCACTGCTTTTAATCACCGTCTTGGGGCCCCAGCCCCTCAGATGTCCTTCTTCATCCAGAAGATGGGGAGCCCTTTGGCGTCGCGGTGGGGGGTTTTCAGGAGGCTCTGCTTGCTGTTCTCAGCCAGGACACCCCTCGCCCAGATCACAGTCGGTGGAGGGGGGGGTGGTGGGACAGTGAGGGGTGGGAGGGGAGGCGGGGGGGCAGAGGGTACCCTTGGCCTGATGGTGATGGCAGCACCAGGAGGGGCGGAGAAGAGCCGCAGCACCTCGGAGGATATGGCAGGGCTGAGGAAGGCCACGCTCTGCACCGGCTCACCCAGGACATAGCCCAGGTGGGCATAGAAATGCTGCTTGTCGTGGGTGGTGAGGTGCAGGCAGCCAAACCCCCGGGCCCGGGCCCACCGCTCAGTGGCCTCCATCAGCCGCCGCCCGTAGCCCTGGCCCCGCAGCGCCCGGGCCACCACCACGCTCTCCACATAGAGGTCACGGGGACGGCCGACCACGCGGGAGAGTCGGACATGGCCCACCAGCTGGCAGGGACCCTCCCGGGGGCCAGGGATCTCGGTGGGGCCCCGGCTCCGCAGCAGCAGCAGGCAGATGGGAAAGGCGTCCGAGGAGCGCTGGAGCGTGTGGAGCCGCGACGCCCGGCTCTTCCCCCACTCCTCGCGCAGCAGCTCAGCACAGGCTTCCAGCAGCTCCGGCCTCTGGTGCAGGGGGACCAAGCTGAGCTCCTCTGACACCGAGCCCATTCTTCTCACTGACAGGAAACCAAGCAGGCCACAGTTTAGAGGCAGTGGGGGACAGATCATGTGTGTCCCCCCCAGCCCAGCACTGGCCCCAGTGCGGGCACAGTTCCCCAGCAGTGCAGACAGATGAGTTCATAGGGATTAGCGGCAGGTCCAACGTCAAACAACAGTGGCAGGGAAGTGCCACGTGGTGCCAGCTCCAGGAATCTGTGCCTTGAGACTTGCAGGCAAGTCTGGCACTGCCAAACCAGCAGAGGGGCAGGAGGCACAGTGCTGGCCTTGCCCCCTCCCCAGCTCTGCCACTAGCTCCTGCCACCTGGCCACCTGTCAGACCAGCCAGCTCATTACATGTGTCCCCAGCATGGAGGTTCCAGGGGGCCCTGACAGCCTCTGAGGGGTCACAACCACCATGTGGTGGGGATCCCTCTCCCAGCCCGGTGGCTGTTCCCATTGCGAAGGAGAAGCCGCAGGCAAAAGGCAGGAGGAACCGCCACACCCGTTTATAGAATGGGGTTGAGCAAACTGCTCCACTTCCCCTCTGGGGGGTGGGGAGAGCTTGGGCTCGCCCTCCCACACCCTCAGGGTGCCCCCCAGTAGCCCCCCTAGCTCCAAGATCCCTGACTCCCAGCTCAGCCCGCAATGACCCCTTCAGAGGCCAGACAGCACCCCAAGACCCCACTGGCACCCTCAGTGGGTGATGGTTTTCTTGTATCCACCCAGCAAACCCACACCAGGACCCCAACAGCACCTGCCTGCCACTCACTCTGCCTGCACCCACCTTCCCTGTGCTTACCCTGCTCACTCTCCCCCTGCTCACTCTCACCCTGTTCACTCTCCCCCTGCTCACACTCACCCTGTCCACACTTAACCTGCCCACACTCACCCTGCTCACACTCACCCTGCCCGCTCTGCCGGCTC